CCAAGCATTTGCATCAAGAAGTAATCCATGTGCTTTAATGTCTAAGCTATGTAAAGCAGGCATACGTCTTAAATAATATGCAAGCATTTCGAATGTTGTTGAATCAGTAGATTGAAAAGACAATAGAAGTGTATGAAGAACAGGTATTGATATAATACTATCATTTGTGTGTTGATACGGTTTAAAAAAACGAGTAAGGTTCGAAGAATCTAATCTAACGTTAAGATATTTGAGATGAAAAGCATTCTGTAAAATAGAACAGAGATATTGAAAGTCACATGACATTCTAATACTCGTTAAATGTTCAATTTTTGAGAACAAAGTTGGTAATAAACCCCAATCATCATATGAAATATCGCTTAGTAGATATATTCGTTTAATACTTTGTAAATCAAACATATCATAATTGATATAATTCAGTCTTGATGGTCTCTCCATATGTATTACATTAATTATTAAAGTGTGAATATTCGTGGTAGATAAAGAACGTAGAGCATTTCGAATTCTTATCCAAGAAACAGTTTCTGCATTAAAATTAATAGATAGTTTATGAATATTTCTAAAATTGTGTAACAACGGAAAACGTAATAAAAAAGTTGAAATTTGACCAGGAGTGTTATGATCAGATAAAACTAATTCTTTAATTTTGCCAATATAATTTGGTAAAAAACTGATACAATAATGAAAACAATCTTTTCGACAATTAACAAAATTAAAATTGTGTTGTCGACATTGCATAATTAATCCATTGAAACGTTGATTTTGTTGATCAATAAAAGCAATAATTATATCCACACCATTAATATAATTTTCGAAGATATTAATTAATATTTCATTTGGAAGTGATTCTAATGTTGATACTGACATTTTGCAAATAAATGTAGCAATATTATTCAATATTATTGCTTTACAGAACGTGTAAATATTTTTTCCCAATCAAGAAAAAAACAGCTGAATAAAATGCAACCATTTCTTACGTCGTAATGGGAGTATTTGTTTTCTTACCTTACGATGATAAAAATATTTTCTAGTAATCATACGGCAATTTTAAAAGCATGTGAGTGACTCATAAAGTCAACAGAATGAATCATGACATATAACTTATAGTGCATAATAGTGTAAAAAATAATATTTTTTTCTGTAAATAACTAAAAGTGAATTTATTATGTCATGAAACTGTTACATATATTATAGACGACAAAAAATGAATAGATGGAATTCCAGGTGCTTACGACTTTCGCCAGTGGCGAAGGTCTTATTGTTAGAGTTCTGATAACCTGAATAGAATAACTATACTCTGTTCTTAACACTAATTGTAAAAGTATTGCATATGTTATGGAATATATGTTTGAGTTTGATCAAATTCAACTTCAGTATAATCATATAAATCAAAATAAAAAAAATAAAAAATATATTTACAAGTTTTTGTTCTTTCTGTTACAATATAATAAAGAAAAACTCTAAAACGAAAACTTGTTTCTATATTTGTACAATGTCGAATATGTCCTTCAGTAAATAAAATATTAGAATTTCATTTTCTTTTTTTTCTTTTCCTGAAAAATTTACGTGAAATAAATTTAAAGCTGTTTGTTCATTTGAGGGTGTGGGTGTGAGTAAACAAAACAATCTCACCCACATCGACACCACCAATATGATTTCTGTATGAATATTTTCATTAACTTTTTTATGCAGATATAGTATGTCATTGGATGAGATGTTCTACAAGATCAAAACATTTCTTTAGTGTCAGCTCGAGAGACTCATTTGAAGTTTCATAGAACATATCCAGATTCTTTTTTTTTGCATATCTCAGCACTTCTGCTCGATTTTATTTCCGAGAATAAAACAATACGAAAAGTACACAACAGACAGACAGACAGACAAGAAGAAATGTGAATAATGTTGCAAAGAATCTAGTTTGTGTGAAATTGACATAGTTCCTTCTGATCTTTATCACTTAATCTAATAGACAAATCAACTATTGCACAAGATCTCTTGATGAGTCTCTATTATCTCTCGGTGATAGAAGTACAGAATAACAATCGTTTTCTGTGTTTGCACCATTCATTATCATTCAACATATTGGTATTTCAATTGATGATCATCCACAGCGACCTATAAGTAAGTATTGAATGTCTTTTTCCAAACATGATTTTCAAATGCAACATTACATCGATCGATTTATCACGAGAAGCTAACAAATAAATAATGTCTTTTGTATTTATTATAATAGTCATGCCATTGAAGTTCACAATATCTTTATTATTAAGTCATTGAAACTGAACGGACTGATTAGGGAGGAGTACGCTTTCGAATACGATTGAACGATTGTTTAAATGCTTTCATATACAATTCTGAAGGAAAGACATATATAAGAAAGATCAGCATCGAAGGAGTGAACGAAATGAAATATGGCCCAAGATACAACCACAAGTTCTCGGATGTTTTCACACAACCAGGAAGTAATGAAATGATGAGACGAGGTATTGATAAAACGAGTAAAACTATTGGACTAATGATCAATTGTTTATGTTCACGGAATTGTTGTTGAACATGTTCTTTAAAACTTTGGTTAGTTCGTGCTACTGATCGTTGTTGAGCACCTCCAAAGATGATGACCAATGCAGAGGAAAGATTCACAATAAATGGACCAACAAGATGAAAAAATAGAACGGCTGTATTGTAATCTTGGACAGACGGTGAATAGCGAGTGATGCATGATACATATGGGTTGTTTGTGTCTTCATTAGTCTTATTCATATCTATCTTATCTAGTCCTGTTTCATAAACGAACAATTGACGATATACAAGTTCATGAATGAGTGTACCGAAAATACAGAATGGTAAAATAAGAATTGTTCGTCGAGCAATAGATTTACTCTTTTTTTTATCAAAGTTTACTCCTTGAAAAATAAGTACTGCTCGTTCAACTGCTACACAAGCATTTAGCCAACCATCTAAGTAGAGAAAAAGTTTTAGAATTGGTTCAATAGATGCACAACCTCCACGAAGAACAGAGAGACTAGCGGACACATTGATATGAGTAAGAACAACAAACCAGAATTTGATTAGGAACATACTAATTGCCAAAAGAGAAGTAATCGATGATGCCAGTAGATACATTCCACACCCAACTTGTTGAGAATTTTTACTTCGAAATGTAATAAAAGAAAGAATACTACTGATTAATCCTGCGACAAACATAATTATTGTTAAGCCTGCACTTAGTTTAATCGAAAATGATTGATTGTTCAACACCTTGTTCGGTTGAAGTTCATCGCGTAAAATATCATCGAGTGTCAAACCAATTCCTTTGATGTAAAAGTTACATTGATCCCCGATCACACAACTACTTTGTTTTGGACCTAAAATATTGAATATATTCTGATTAGAGAATAATGATGAAATTCAGTTGTTTTGACAATCAAAATATTCAGTTTTGGCAATTCATTTGTTTATCAAATGAAAAGGTTTGTCAATGTACTGAAATATCTGCGTGATTCGCTATTGATTTCTGCAGATAGAGAAATTTTTGAAGAAATTTTTATATTTCACAGCTTTTCGGTCTTCGAAAACTCTTTACCCATAAAGATTTAAATGGTTGTAAGTAGCAACATTCAAAATATGGAAAATCTATTTACAATACACGCTAAACAGATGTCTTTCCTAACAGGTCAATCAGTTAAAAGATTCCGAAAGCTATTTAATTCAATAATTCAATAGATCGTTTTTCAAAACCTAGAATAACAATTGCTCACTAATCAAAAAAAGTATAAAAAGTCTTCTTTTCACATGTTTGATGCCATTATATATTTGTTATCGAAAAAATCATACGAATACTTACTGAAAGGACTAAGAGTGATATTGTTTGGTCCAGAGATAAAAACAGAAAAGTTCCCAATTGTCTTAGGATCGTGTGTTGTCACAACTAATATGTATAGAGTGTTGATCTCGAGATCGATGATTAATTTGAAGTCCCCATCATTACATTTACCATCATGTGATAGCAGTAAATTTTCAAATGGTTTTAGAGGATTGAAATCATTTTTGTAGATATATCCATATGCATTAATACTATTTTCACTCCAAAGAACATATAAACCCGTTGTATTAACATGCATTTGTAAAGTTTCATAATGACATTGTGGTACTTGACAATCTCGATAATATGTTGGACTATTATCAGTTAATTTTGATGAATATTCTAACCGAATATTTACTGGAGTACCTGTTCAATACAATAAGATGAATAATTCATAGTTTCAATACTATTACAAATTTCTGTCTTGCGCATTCCATTCAGAAAATATTTATTGACTAATAAAAACAGAAACAGTTAGATAACTATCCGTCCATGAATCTATTGTATAGTATCAACAAAAACGAAATTTTTGAGATTTTCTATGAAGATTTAATTGTACAAATAGAGATTAGTACATGTACAAAATTTACATTCTCCAAGTGAGTAGTCTGAAACCAGTATGTCACAGAAACAAGAGTACTGAGTTATATCAAGATACTTTTTAGGGTTTAAGTAAGGACTCTTAAATGTTTCCAAAAATCTCATTGACTAATCTTTTTAGAACATTTTTCATTTTAGTATTTGTAGAAACTGATTAGCATCCATCTACTAAGATAGTGGTAGATAAACACAAGAGTAGTTATCCTGCTAGAAAATGCCATAATATTAGATATCATAAATTCAATACATTCTCTTGATATAGAATAAAAGACGGAATTTAATTTAGAAGACATATTGTATATTTTGTACGAATTATTTAACATGCAGCGCAAGTATCTATATACTTACTAAGACGCTCGAAAATAACTTTGTTTTTACCCAACACAACAATCGAAAATTCTCCAGTTTCTTTTGAATCATATGTTGCTACAACCAATACATATTTCCTGTCAACATCAAGATGAATAACAAGTTTAAACTGAATATTAGAGCCACCGTCATAATCTTTATCGAGCAAATTCTCTGTTGGATCAAGTGGATTAAATTTGTCTTCGTAAATAGATCCATATCCATCAATGTCACCACTACCAAGGAAAGTGTAGTAACCACTTTCGATCACCTTCACTTGGATAGATTCATAATAAAAATTGTCTTTCAGACAATCTCGGTAATAAATTTGGTTGCTGTTTGTCAACGATGATGAATAGGTATCTTGGAGAGTCGAGCGAGTATTGTCTAAATGAACAATAAAATCAATTAAAGTTTATTGTAAGTACACAGATGCAAATCTTTTTGGATAGAAACTTTTGTTCACTTTAAATATACATCCCTAACCTATCGAACTAGATATTTGTGCTCAAAAGGATGAAAATCTATTTCTCAACTAGAAAGCATATGAATTCATTCTGTGATATTATTTGTTTTTCGAGATTTTGAAAAGAGAAAACATTATGTAAATCGAGCAGTTTCAACGAGAATCTACTCAAAATCTTTAATTAACATACACAGCACAATGTTTGAATTTTACATGGCACTCAAAAATTCGAAACAAAGTCTGACCAGTGAAAAGAGAGAGAAACTTCGAAATGATTAGATTTAACTGAGGATATTTTTCGCCATTAATCGATCAAATAAAACATAATATTGTTCACGTTGATCAGATATTTTCTACGTAACATCTAAGAAGTTCTGTTTTGTTCTATGAATAACAATCAGTATCTTTGATGATTTTCTGATCTGATAGTTACCTCCATATCTCGAGACAGAGAATGTTTAAAAGAAGAATATCTATAATCAATTGAAATTTCATAATTTAAATGTATTTAATACTTTTATATTGAAATTCTTAAATTAATCAATTATTATATTTACACAATTTTATTGTTTTTCGATCAACGAAGTTTCATGTACTGTATTCTCTTTTAATTCGAACCTGAGTTTCTTCTAACGAATACTATACAGCTTTTCATTATTAACATTCTCATTTCATCATCGCATTCGACTAGACTTCAACTTACCACAATATCTTTTTAAATATTTAAATTTTTGAATTCGGTGATTTAATGAATCAGTAACAAACATGTTTCCAGAATGATCGAAACTTAAACTAAATGGCTCTCTTAATTGATTGGATTGTGAACCCTGTCCATAACATCCAACTAAACATCGAAAACCATCCAAGCCTGAACCAACAATGCGACCATTGCCTAAATCCACGATGAATAAATATTTCTCAGCATCTAATATGATTCCAGTTGGAAAATAAAGTGTAATTGTTGGATTTAGTGATGTACTTCCAGCTACTGTGATGCCATCTGAGTCTCCTGACTGGAACAACTGAACACGACTATTTGCACCATCTACCACATATAAATCCAAATTCACATCGACAAAGATTCCTTCAGGGCCGTAGAGTTGATTCGAGGCTGATCCTTTGGTATCATTTCCAGCAGCAACACGATTTGAAGTCATTACAGTACCATTTAATGATCTTTTCACTACTTGATGATGATCACGCATTGAACAATAAAGAGTATCATTGATATCGACAAACAAACTAACACATGATGAACTGACATTCATCACCGTGACAAAGATATTTGTTGCTGCACTCCATTTCTGCACTCGACCATTCTTCTCAGCATCATCAATATAAATATCACCATCTGATGTCACGAAGAGAGAATAGGGTTTTGTAAAATTACCGTGAATGATTTTTGTTGGATTGACACTCTCTTCTTGCCACATTACAATTGTGTTATTTTCTAGATTAGCCACATAGATTGTGTTGTTTGTGCTCACAAAAATTGTGCCAGGATATTGACCAATAATCGATCGATTAGCAATGGTAATTCCATTGGAATTCCAAGTCGCAGTTGAACAAAACTTTGGTTGATTGAATGAAAGAGCTAAAACAAGAAAAATACAAAGAATATTAGAGAAGAACTGTAAAAAAATGAAATTGTTAATTTATATATTCGTAATAGAAAAATGAAGTATCTTCAAAAAAATTTTTCATAAAAAAGATATTTAGAAATGTTTGTTAAGATTGGTTTTAGGAATGATTTCTATTGCTTTTCATATAAAATATGAATTGTGATATTGTTTATTAAAATATTTTCGTTTAAAACATCGATGTTGATCATTTTAGATAAAACATTTTCTTATTACTTTTTCTTGAAAAATCTTGTGGAAGATCTGAATAAATTGTATCACAGAAAATAGTTGAATAAAAGAAATTATTTATTTAAGGGAAAATGATCAACAAAAAAGAAGAAATTTTTATCAATCAAGTTTCTTTCTTGGGAGTTTTGAACGTTTCATTCGCCTTTCTCAAGTGAATTCTAATTATCAAGCTGCTTTTTTCTAAAGTAATTCTGCAGATATGTCATTTCAGATCTTTTCTTGAAATATTTATTCAAGCACAAGTTTTAAATTGTGAATATTTACTCAAAGTTTCTCAAACTTTTTTCTGATAAACATTTAACGTTAATTTAAAGAAGACATCAAAGGGAAACCATAAACATCCCTCCATTATCTCAGTTGTCTATTTTATTGCGATTATAACTCGATTTATCTTCGTATATTTCATTAATAAATAAAAAAAATAATATCAATACACGTCATATCGATACTGGATGAAAAATGATAGAAAAAATACGATTTTTTATGATCCGCAAAAAACCTTCTTGTCTCTGTACAGACGCTCTTTGTATAAATTCTCGCTTGAAGATTTTTTATCTCAAAAAATTTGAAAAGTTTATCAAAGATCATAATATTTCGTCTTTGTTCAATCTAAATAAAACAAATCTTTCTTTGTAATCCTATTAGTATTTTACAGATTTCAATGGTATTCCTGTGAAATAAAGAGCAAAACAAGAAAATTTTTATTTTCATGTGAAAAAAATAAACAATTCGCTTAAAAAGAAAACAGCCATTGGCTATACATCTTCCAGAAAAAGTAAAATAAATATTTAGTAAAAATAACAAATCTTTTATCAATCAGAAAAGCTTTTTCTCATCGAAGTTTAGAAATGTATACAAAACTTTATTAACTGACTAATGTACATTATTCATTTAAGAACAATCTAGAATAGATTTGATTAAAAATCAATTTTTTCTATTGATCATCTTAAATGAATGAATTTAATTAAACAAATAAATATTTTTGCTCACAATCAGGTCAAGAGATTTTATTTATTTTACCAAATAAACACATCTTTTTCTTTTATAGAAATAATAACATATAATATCTCTCATTAACAATTACGTATATCACATTATAGATTGCCTCCAACTATTCAATATTACTCTCTGCAATTAAATATTATAATGACTATCTAAAGAACAAATCATCAATCAAACATTTCTCTACGAGAAAAGTCATTTTTTCTAATGTTTGATATTGAAATTTATCTTCCTCAAAGATAAACAATGATTAAATTCATTTTGCACAAAAAAAAGAAAAATTAACTGTTAGAGTTGTCACATTTTATTTTTTCTATTTTTCTTAAATGAAACATATCGAAATATGAACTATGAAGTCAAATCATAAAATAATTTATATTAAAACTATATCGACAAAGATAAAATGAGATTTTGTTTCGATAAATGCTGTTTTATTGATGAAATATTCTTAGAGACATATGAACTGAAACATGAAAGCTCTTTCTACCATTCCATTAAGAACACAGCTTTTTCTTCTTCTATTCTTTAACCTCAACAAAAAGATGAAGATTCTATCTTACGAGGGAACATCCCCAACTGTCGGATCGCTTTGGAGTTCGGACACCGTGCATAAAGTAGATCCTAGTGAGGTATGAAAAAACCCTAAAAGGATAAGTGCCCATGGGCCGTCCGTCCTGAGTTATAGGCAATATACTGAAATTATAGTCTATATCATGGTACTTATAAATAAATCGAATGGCGGTGTTTCGACCTGGGATTTTGCCCACAGAGAGACCT